TACAGGTACACAAGTACAGTCAAAACAAAAAACCTGTTTCCTGTCAGTGGTTGCCCGCAGGGAATTTACCACCTGAAACTGTAGCAGAGAGCGGCAAGCTTTTGAATGACAGGGGATCTAGCAAATCAGCAGCTTGCATGTGCTCTATATCTCCTCCCCCAGCTGGCGCACTGCCTCCACTGCTGTCAGGGAATCTATTCCGGCCCGGCGGTGTATGTGTTTAGCACTCTTCCATCCCTCCTCCTCTCCAGTCAGCCACTGTTACAGACAAGTTGCCGGAAATTAAGTCATGACACACTGATATCACTCACTTAGTTTACAAACAATGCAGACCACCTCCCTCCTGAACTTACAGGACAAACTGTGTTCCGTATTGAATCAATACAAGACGGAGCATTTACCTTTAAGATCCAAGACGATCCCATATTATATGGCAACCCATCCTAGGAGTTTCCAGCTTCCCAAATGAGCAGTCTCCCGCTTGTCGTGACACTAGTTAGTGTCCTCTTTTTTAAAGTAAAATGCCCAGACCTATCCCTATATGTTCAATATTTAGGACCAAAATCCATAAAACAATCCAGACTTTTTGGTTTGCTAAATATAACATAAAGATATCTATGCTCAACTGCTTTCTGCATGAATTAAAAGTGGTAATTTCTTTACACTGCAACACATTAAAATACATCCATAGCTCATGCTTTATTAAAATAGTTAAATATAATAGTATAGATGCAGATTTGCTACACCAAATTCATTTTGAGGACTAGGTTGGTGACCGGTTTTTCCTTTACTGCAATTTAGCGATACAGCGTGGTCACCTCACTGCCTGTGATTGGACAGTGAAGAACCAGCCACAGGTATAAGTAATGCCTATGTTTGCGTGTATAGAGGGTTATCTGTTAAGTTTAAGTGTGTATTACATATGGTCTCCTGCCTTACCGCTATTTATGTGCTACAAGGATTTGAGCACAAGTCGTTTCATTTTATGTTTTACAGATCAGTGTCCATTGCAATGTCTTTCATAAGAACCGTGCAGCAACCAGGCACTCACCAAGTGTCATTTTTCAAGTTTTAATCTGAATGGTTACTTGAGACAGCAAGGGCAGATCTTTTGAAGATAATTCTGATAAATATGAGGCCCTGTTGTTTCTCTTCTTGCAATAGAACTGTGTGTTGTCACACAACATTCCTGGTGTGCTAGGTTTGGCTTCTGACTGTTCATGCTGGCATTTTCCAGTGTGGAGCTTTTGGCTTAGTGTAAAACCTGCAGCTCTCCTAATTGCTATGTTGTAAAGTGTCCCTTAAAGTGATATTAGGCCCCATTTCCACTAAGCGATTTCTGCCACGATATCGCGCATTTTTGCCGTACGATATTGTGAGAAGTTGCCGGCCAATGCTATTCAATGGAGCAGTCTTAGCTCCATGTCGCTCGACGGTGAAGGTGGCGCTACTGTTCCCCCGAACAGTCGCGCTATCCCGGCCGCGCGGATCTGCCGCTAAAGGTAAGTCGCTCAGTGTGAATGGGGCCTTAAAGTCAAAAGGTTTCTCAGCTACAGTATTTCAAATGCTGAATTTTAGTTTCCTGCAGAATCAGCAGGTCCCCTTGGCACTGGCCATGATATCCTGTTTTAGGGTGGCTCCTTTCCCTTGCAGGGTCCTTTGCAGCCACCCTTGTGTCCGCTAGTAAGCTGTGTGTGTCTCCACAAACACACAGACATGACAGGGCAAGCCACTTCCCTGGTCCCTGCTTCCCCTTCTTCCCTGCGTCCACCCTTTCCTCTTCTACTAGCTAGTAGATGGACAGCTGCAGGAGACTGTGCTGTCCCTTGTGATCTCGTACTTGACATGAAGGTAAGGTAGGCCGAGCTGAATGTGCTGGAGCTGTGTGGAAGCATGATGACTGTATGTACTTGGGCAAAAATATAAAGAAATACTTTGCTGGGCAATGTATATTTGTTTGATCTGGATTAATTATTGGAAGAAAAAGTTAAAACTTAACCCAACCCCGAAAGTATCTTAACTTTTCTGTTTCTACTTAAACTCCCCCCTAAAGCATAACCTTAATGTGTACGGAAACCCTAACAGTAAACTTCTCTCATATATTCTCTTTTTTTTGTCTGGTAAATATCTATAAACACACAAAACAGGAGAAAAGCACCTTTCAATGTTTTGCAACTTGCAACTTCAACACAATAATTTTGCAACTTTTTAAAAATCCAAAGTGTAATACATATTTGCCAACCTGAATGTAGTGCTTCCCAGACGATTAATAGATAAATATTGATTGAACTACAAGGATATTCTTAGTGTACCGTGTTCTGCAGTGTGACAGTAAAGTAAATGTCCTGTATGGCAGAGTAGCATAATGTACACTGCCTCTTCCCATATAGCTGCAGTCATCCATACCCTAGATCACAGATTTCCACCTGGTAGTACGTGGTTACAGTAAATCCACAATAATAGCACCTAATACACAGAATGTAGGGCCTCATTCACACTGGCAGTGTTAAACATCTATTTTTTTTACATTTAGGGCACATTTCTAAACACATAAATGTGGGTAATGATTTTTCAATGGTATCTATTAGGGATGTTCAGATACCAGTTCAGATGCCAGTGCCGATACTTGGCATTTTCACAAGAACTATCAGTGTTGCAGGGGTTGCAGCATGGACCTGGCACTAGCGCTCCACCACTGTCCTGAAATCATTAGTATATATTATATACAGGGCTCAAAATTGCCCCGATGCTGGCGACGTACACTGTAAGTCGTCAGTCACGAAGGGGTTAAGCTTCTTCAGCAAGACAGTGGTCGTCTTGGAGGTGTGTTTGGGGTCGTTATCATGTTGGAATACTGCCTTCTGGCCCAGGCTCTGAAGGGAGGGGATCATGCTCTGCTTCAGTATGTCACAGTACATGTTGGCATTCATGGTTCCCTCAATGAACTGTAGCTCCCCAGTGCCGGCAGCACTCATGCAGTCCCAGACCATGACACTCCCACCACCATGCTTGACTGTAGGCAAGACACACTTGGCTTTGTACTCCTCACCTGAATGTCGCCACAAATGCTTGACACATCTGAACCAAATAAGTTTATCTTGGTCTCATCAGACCACAGGACATGGTTCCAGTAATCCATGTCCTTAGTCTGCTTGTCTTCAGCAAACTGTTTGCGGCCTTTCTTGTGCATCATCTTTAGAAGAGGCTTCCTTCTGGGACGACAGCCATGCAGACCAATTTGATGCAGTGTGCGGCGTATGGTCTGAGCACTGACAGGCTGACCCCCCACCCCTTCATCCTCTGCAGCAATGCTGGCAGCACTCGTATGTCTATTTCCCAAAGACAACCTCTGGATATGATGCTGAGCACGTGCACTCAACTTCTTTGGTTGACCATGGCGAGGCCTGTTCTGAGTGGAACCTGTCCTGTTAAACCGCTGTATGGTCTTGGCCACCGTGCTGCAGCTCAGTTTCAGGGTCCTGGCAATCTTCTTATAGCCTGGGCCATCTTTATGTAGAGCAACAATTCTTTTTTTCAGATCCTCAGAGAGTTCTTTGCCATGAGGTGCCATGTTGAATTTCCAGTGACCAGTATGAGAGTGATAACTCCAAATTTAACACACCTGCTCCACATTCACACCTGAGACCTTGTAACACTAACGAGTCACATGACACCGGGGAGGGAAAATGGCTAATTGGGCACAATTTGGACATTTTCACTTAGGGGGTGTACTCACTTTTGTTGCCAGTGGTTTAGACATTAATGGCTGTGTGTTGAGTTATTTTGAGAGGACAGCAAATGTACACTGATATACAAGCTGTACACTCACTACTTTACATTGTAGCAAAGTGTCATTTCTTCTGTGTCGTCACATGAAATTATATAATAAAATATTTACAAAAATGTGAGGGGTGTACTCACTTCTGTGAGATACTGTATATATATTAGTATAACAGTATAAAATGTTTTAGAAAAACTGTCACATGACAAAAAGCAAAAATGTATCAGTACGTGTATCTGTGAGTACTTGGACAGGTATCAGTACTTGTACTTGAAAAAATGGTATCGGTGCATCCCTTATACAGTATATATATATTTTTTTTAAATCATACATTAAAACAGGAATGCATAAATCCCAGGAGCTCCGTATTCTCCTTAGAAATGACAGCTGCCTCCTAACTTTGGAATTTCTCTCTAGTCTAGTCTTGGAGCTGGAAAAGTATCTGTACATGTACATGAATCTATCAGTTTGGAGGATTACATGCATTTAGGTGCATTCAGTTTAGCTACATTTAGAGAAAATAGAACTGTTTTTAGGCAGCAACTTCTAAACGCAGACGAAAGTGATCTGGGAAGCATAAACTTTGTTTATACTTACAAGATTATTGCTCTTGCGTTTAGATTATCTAAATGCAGGAGTGCTAGTGAGAATGAAGCCTTCAGTTGGCCATACACTGCGATTTTCAAAATTCGATCTATGGGTGAACCTTTCGTCACTACTCTGTTGGACTAATGTTGATATTTCAATTGATTTAGTTGAAGGACGCGCCAAACATTGTTGGATAAATAGTGATGGCAGGCAATCAGCTGCAATCACTGTGTGGGTATTTTTTTATGAAATGGGAGCAGCTAATTGAGCTGCTCCTAGATATTAGACGGCAGTCATGCTAATGAGTGATTAAGGTTAGGGCTATGAATGTAATGTTAGGGTTATGATTGAAATAAAATGATGATTATTATTATAAAGTATTTATAAATTATTGCTCTAAATACATGAAAATGTTTGTGCTTGTAAAGGAAGGAAGGGGGAGTGCTGCAGACATTGGCTGACTCTAGTTTCTCCCAAGCAGGCTTGGCTAGTAAATGACAGGCGGGGTCATAAAAGGCCTACAGATAAGAATGTGCAAATATTTTCTAATGTCTGTAGCCAGTTTAAGAAATATAACCAGCTTTGTACTGAATGTAGAATGTTGGCACAGTAAACATTTGTTTCTTTGCAGGTTATTGCGATAGTCATGGACGTTTTCACCGATCCAGATATTTTCCTGGACTTGCATGAAGCAGCCACACGAAGAATGGTTCCAGTGTACATATTACTAAGTTCTCATCATTTGTCCCCTTTTCTTCACATGGTGGAAACAACAGGAGTTAATGTCCGATTTACAGAGGTACCTTTACATTTTGGTTTGATTTATTGGAAATCTCCCATGTTTACAAACTTTCCTAAATTGATTTTACATACAATAAGTGCATTTTCCCTCCTAGTTGAAACAAATCTGTTATGTGGTGCTCTTCCATGGAAACACAATTAGAACACAAGTCGAGTTGTAGCCAAGCAATCAGGTTTCACTGAATGGACAATTTAAGTGAGAAGTATGATTTGTTGCTAAGGGCAACTAGTTTAGTTTGATCTTATATTCTGTAGTTTAAAGGGATCGAACCCATAGCATTTTCTAGCTTTGGCCATTGGAGTTTTACAAAACTGTATTTTGTGTTAATGTTACCCTATTGTGAATTAAGGCAACATCTCAATAATTAGTTAACCTCTGTAGTCAAATGGAAGCAGGTACCTCTGAAGTGCCAAAAAAATCATTTTTACTGCCTGGCCTGCTAGTCAGGTACATGAAATGAGCTGAAGAACAATGGTCAGTCTGCCCAGACTGTGTCTTCCATTTAGAAAATGCATTCAATTCAAATAAGACTTACAGTGCCTGACTTGGTAAACACTGTGACAGGCACGGGAAGGCTTGGCAGTGACAACCTAATAATTTCACATCTGAGGAGGTGCCTGCTTTTTGGCTGCATAGGTTGGAGAAGGGGAGAGGGGTCAATGCTTGTTTGCTGTAATCTGAACATTCATGTAGTCAATAAACCAGAATAAGCTATTAGGAACAAATCAACCACTGCTCTATGCAGTCCATTAATCAGAAGCCTGCAGTATAAAAGAGATTATTTTGTGTTATTGCAGCTGTAGAGAATAATGATGGACATGCCCACAAGTGTCCGTAAAAGGGAAAAGAATTAAGATTTTGAACATTTTGGGGCTTCTGTATGGAAAGTGTCAACTTTCCATACAGTGTTCAACTTTGATTTTTGCATTCTGCTGAAAATGAAAAAAAAGGTCTTGATTGGTTGATAAAGCTAATCATCTTTGCTTTATGTAGCTGCCCAACTTAAAAAAGATGTCTCACCTTTTCCACAGTTCAGTCACCTAACTCCCACAGTATATGTTGCTTTTTATCATATGCTTCAGTGTGCAGTAGAAGCTGAGATCCAGACAGTGACATCATGCTTTCCCCCTTCCCCAGAATTACCATTAGGCATAGTAGGCCTATGCCTACAGGCAGCAGAGACAAATAGGTGGCTTTTCCATATATAGTTATCAGTAACACATTTCCCCCCCCAAGATCAGTAGATGCATAGTTATCACTTATTAATACATGTCACTATACTCTAAGCAGGATTAGGAACAGTAAAGAAAGAAAATGTTCTGTATAAAAGATGAGAGCCGATCAGACAGGTTTTTCTTTGCGCAAAGTCTGAGTGTCAATCATTGTTCCAGTTCTTCCTTCTTACAACTCTATGGGTAAAGGCATTGCTTACCTACCAAATTCTGTGTTTTTAGCAAGAATGATCGAGTTGGAGAATATTACAGAGAGGAGACCAGATACTGCCAACCAGGAGACCGGGCAATGCCAAATAATTTGTTTTATAACTTTCACCCCGCTAGAATTAGTCCAGCATCGGAGTGAGGAGTTCAGAAAGCATTTAAACTTAACTTCACTCTCACCACCCACTTTCCATTATTGCACTACTTCTCACCTCCTCTCTCACAATCGGGCATTCATTATTTTTTTCTACCTAAAATACCTTTTTTTTTTTGACACCCCTCCCGGGACTTCTGGTATTCCCGCCTATGTCCCTGTCACCTATAGTCTCCTGGGATACTAACTTCACACATTCCAGGAGGCCTATGGGTGCTCTACAGTGCATGTGCAGTTGCACATGCATTTCATTAGGGGGAAGGCTGCAATAACTTGGAAGAGACAGCCAGTCGCCTGATGATGTAGGTAAAGAAGATAGTGGCACAGGACTCAGCGTGCATTGGCAGATTGCAGATGGACAGCGCTAAATTTGTTGGACATGTGAGTATGTATTTTGAAGATATCCCAGAAAACTAGATAGAAGTTGATTTAAACAAAAAATAGCATGGGGAATGAAGTTCCTCTGGTGAATAGGTATATAGTACCATCTAAATTATTATGTGGGAGTTAGTGGAAAGGCCAATAAGCTTCTCAGCCTGTCATGTACTAACAGCAAGTAAAATCTTGCTTAAATTGATGTCATCATCAAAACAGCTTTCATTGTTACTACTTAAAATAGGTAATAGTGCAAAGGAGGTGACTAAACAAGAGGCAGAATTGAAACACTAGTATCTTCTTCAAAGGATGATGAAATACAAGGCTGTATAAACCTCAGTAATTGTGTAGATGGAATGTGCTTGTTCTGAGGATTCTTGTACCTCTGTGGGACAGCATGTTACAGATGTAGCAGTTTTAGTGCTGGAATGCCAGCAGTGTTGAAAATAAACAGGTGTCACAGAAAAGCATCAATCTTACAAAGCTTTAACCTTGAAAGTAATCAAGGTTTGAAAATATGGGTAACAAAAGACCAGATAAGACAAACAAGCCATTTATACTGGAAATGTGTTTAATACAGTCTTTATATTAATCAACCATGTGTAGTAATTAAAATTAAGATTTATGTGATAGATGTCCTTTAAATGGCTACTATAGAGAACAATGTTGTATTCTGGTAACTGCATGTGGTTAACACCTGTAATAAGTTCCTTATTTTAACTTTTTAATCTTACTTAGTTGTGTCCCCAGTACAAAACTTTTTTCTATTGGCAATAGGGCCTTCAAAGATTTAAAGCAGTGCATACTGTGTGTCTACTAAGACTCTGTTTTACAGTAGCCCTTTAAACCATGCCCAATATTCAGCCTTATGTAGCCGTCCCCACTTTTCACCATGGTGCGTTGTGTGCCACATTATCCCTTATCCAGGCTGTCCCTCTTTGTTAAAGTCTAAAATTGGGAGCCAAGTTATCAAGCTGTCTAGCATCCTTCATTGCTAGGATGCAGGTAGCTTAAGCCGCCTGACGTCCTAGCAATAGAGCACCCTTGCTCTATTGCTCTGTATGCTGTACACATGTAAACCAAATGTTACGTGCATACAGCGTACAGAGCACTTTGTACGCAGGATTTTGTTGCAAGCTTCTGTCAGGAAGATCCCTAAGTACTAGTTGCCATATGTGCATATGGCCATGTGCATGAATGAAACCTAAAATAAAGAAATACAAGGTTGTGCGTATATGATGTTTGTATTACCCAGTTCTCCTTTAACCTAATACAAAAATGATACAGAAGTTGACACACCAGATGTACAGTGAGTTTACTCCTGAGACTACTAGCATGTAACCTCAGATTTGTCTGGATGTTCCTTTAGTACAAAACAACTGAAACAAGTAACAGGAAAGCTGAAAGAGAAATTTCTCCTAATTGATAGTAACTCTGTAATCACAGGATCCTATAGGTACGTATATATGAACAAGCTGCCAGATTCAGCTCTGCTGATTTATTTTTTAATGAGAACTCTAAACGAATCTAATCATATCTAAAATATGGTCCTAGGAATTAAGCTTTTACAAACTATTACTTGTTTTATATAATTTTTTGGGGGTCATTTGCTAATAGAAAAGCATATTAAAGGCTCTGTGAGTTATGTTACCTGAACAAAGTAGGTGTCTGGGTGTGGTATGCTAACTGATATGAGATTCATTATTTTACTTTGTGTGTCCCACTTATACACAGAGCAAATCTAGGAATGTTTTTTATACCAAACACAAGTGGTATGCTGAGAAACTACAGCCTAGATAAGAAAAACATTAATCTGGCTTTTTACCTATGTGTTGCAATAATGTATGTTTTGCCACTGATTACCGCAACACATGGTAACATATGACACTCTGTGTGGTGCGTTGTCCTGTACGCCCCCCAAATATCACCCAGGGAATAGTAACAAGCTGATTGGCAGGCTCCTGTCCTCCTTATATGCAGGGGAGCCCAGGTCCCTGTAAGGAAGGAGCCTGCCAATCAACTGGTTATCATGGCAAGTGGGCCATGATATTTTTTACTTTTTCATCACCTTTTTATTTTTTTAATTTAATAATTTGTTTCCAAATTATTTTTTACTTATTTTTTTTTTATTCATTTAATTATTTTTTTAATCACATTTTGTTTCACTTAACTTTATCGCTATCACACAGGAGCTAACAAGCCCTTTTTTGAGGTGACAAGTTCTCTTTATTGAACCTGCCACCTCCAGGACAGGAGTTCTAGCACAGCTCTGTGCTGGAACTTCTGTGACAGATGAGAGGGGAAGACTGCTCTCCCCTCTCACTGTTTTTGCATGGAGCGGCAGAGTTACTTTTAACCATGCCGCTTTGCTCCCTGCTTCGGCCGCCAGTGAGGAGAGAGACTTGGCGAAAGGAGGAAGACGGAGCCCGAAAGACGGAGCCCGGAAGACGGAGCCAGCGAGGAGAGAGGTAGGTGCGGGGGGGGGGGGACGGACAGGCTACAGACTTATTACACTTGTAAAAAAACAATCAGCTTCCCTGCTCTACATTTAGTGCTGCTTGTGCAAAGCAGGACTAAAAGTAGAAAGCAACTTACCGCCCAGGATTCCACACCGCTGCAGCCCGTAAATCTTTCATTCGCCGGGCCCCGCTTGTCACTGCGGGCGGGGGGCGTGGAAGTGGAGCCATTGAATTCAATGCGGGGAGAAGTTTCTTAGAGATCGCGGTGCGTTCCAGCAGCTACTGCTCTGGAACGCACCCGCTTTTGGTGTGAACAAGGCCTGAAGGGTTTCTGAGCACTTTCTATTTACATCATCACCATTTATCACTGTGCTTATTAAAGGAGAACTATGGGGTCAGGGCTTTTCCCCATAGTTCTCCTAAGGGTCACGGGAGAACACAAACTAGTGTCCTCCCGTGAGCCAAAGCTCAGTATACCGCGAGCTACAGCTCGCGGTATACTGAGACGCTGCAGCCGGGAAGGATCCCGACAATACTGTCTGACAGCTGGCTCTGCCTATCCAGAGGCAGCTGTACCAGCCCCCTCCCCCGTCCGTTTCGCCAGTCAGCGCTGGAGGATCGGACAGGGGAGGGGGGAATCCCTGCAGGGAGCCATGAGTGACAGTCACGGCTCTCTATAGGGATAGATCGAGAAGTGAGCGAGCGATGGTATCTGTTCGCTCACTTCCCGATCTACTGAGCCGACCTGTGACAGTTTCATTGTCACAGGTCGGCTCAGATTATGAGGCTGAGTGAAAATCACTCACCTCATAATTCTCCTTTATATGCTATTGTTCCCTACAAATGACCCATAAAAAAGCCCACAGCAGAGAGTGTTAGCAGACTGTGCCAGATAATGATGACAAAAACCAGATCATCAGGGGAGAGGATGTTAGGAAATCCTCTCATATCTGCTTGCCAACACCCCTGAATCAAATTAGACACTGAACAAGTCCATGCGGTAATCCCACTCAGAAATGGCCTTCTTTTTCAGATGAAGCCCCACCTCTTCATCCCTTAGAGCCAATAAAATCAGAGTCTGTTGGCAAAAGTGTGTCGGCAATGCAACAATTTTCTATATTGTAGAACTTCCAGAGATACCTGGACAAGAAGCTTTACGTCTTAATAGGCATTCAGTCTACTTTATATGATCAAGTTCTTCAAAGTTGAATTTGAAGTTACCAGGCTGGGAAGGCATATTGAGCTAAAATGTATAAATTAATTTTGGGTATTATGGACTCTGTATAGTTTTAGCCTGTTCATTCTCAAACATCAATTTAAAATGACACTAAACTCAGGAGTAAAATATTACAAGCGTGCAAACTGTACCTTATTTGTGTATCACTTGGCTGTAGATCCTCAAATCATCTCTGAATCGGTGCCGGCACTGTCCTTAGCCTGACAGCCGTAGGTTGGCTACCTTTTTTCCCCATTGGTCCCAATGTGGGTTGCAAATTAGCCACCACTCCAAACTCGTTCTCATGATGGACTATAATCTCAATACAAATTAGTAAACTAAAAGCTTAATTTTGTTGTTACTTTTATTAAAATATTCTTTCTAGATGCACATAAAATGCACCTAGAGAAAAGTACAGCTTTGTTTATTAACAACGTCATGTAATCACCAGGCCAGTGCTGATATGGTAATAACCTGGCTTTGTTAGAAGAGTAAATGGCAATGTTAGGATTAAAGTTAGGGTTATGGTTAGGATTAACGTTTAAGTAAGGGTTATTGTTACATTTGGGGTTAGCATTATTATTTTTTCAAGCAAATTTCATCTAAGCTGATCATATGACAAATTGTCAGGCCGATTTCAACATAAGCATTATTGGTAATTTCAGAAATCAAGCTCAGGGAAATCGTCTGCTCATCTGTTCATTTCTATCCTGGACATTTGGAGGGTGTATGTTTATGGGCCAGTGAACATCTGGGCGATCTGTGACCGCGCGGCAATCGTGCACGATACCTCGCGGATTGCCGCCAGGTCACAGAGTCGCCCATCAACGACGATCACGCTGTGGGTGCCATTATTTTCTAATGGCACCCCAGTCGCGATTGGCAGATTGTGCGGTTTCCCGACGCAATTCTTTCCGTGTATCCGAACATGTCGTGTATTGCAAAAAAAAGGTACATATTTATTTTTATGCGATTTTTGCGGGGATGTACTCTATTAAAATCAATGGGGCGGCGGGGCAGTAGCTGTCTGCAATTATGCGCAATAGCGTGATACCGGTACGCATGTCCCGGATCAATTATGTCTGCACCGGGCCTTAACATGCTAGCTTTGACTCAACCCTGATATTTCTGTTTTGGATGGAAGATGCCTCTCTGCTTTCAAATACTTAAATCCAGTTCTTCAGTAGCCGCCTGTTAATATGATACTAACTCAAACTGGTAAATGGATCTACACTTTAAACAAGCCTGGCAGGCAAAAGTGCTCCATACATACAATGTCAAATATTTGAGACATGTTAAAGGATTTGCACCATCCTTATGCTTTAGGCCATATGCACATAGTATTCTGCAAGTGAATGGCTTGACCCAGAGCTAAACCTGATGTGAATAACAGCTGGGGTGGGGGCAGTGAAGCTGCTAACAGACAGGTGGAACTGGAATACTGTCTGTCGTTATACATAATGATCTACAAACTAGGGGTAATACATACAGAATGCATTCTTATTGTGTTAGTTATTAATCAAAAGTAAGAGAAGACATTTATTTTATACAGATTTAGTGGGGGGGTTTTTGGTCTACGTATAACCATTTAATTGGGTCTTTTACATAGATATTCCTTCTAAGGAAGCTGTTGTACTTTTTTAAATAAGTATTGATTCAAGCTGTAAGTGAAATATACCGTATACTTATGTTACATAGTATTTGAGGTTGAATAAAGACACAAGTCCATCAAGTCCAACCTATTTTCATCTCATTCTTATGAATATATATCATGAGAATGATATTTAATGATAACCTTTTTACATGTTTGGTCATCCCATATATTCCTGAATGTATTTGAAATGCCTATATATTCCTGAATGTGTTTTATATGCCTATTTACAGTATATAAGCACCTTTTAGCTGAGCAACAGGTGTGAGAAAACCAATTACATGATATGTAGCTTAGAAAGTATATTGTTTTCAACATAATCTAAGCTACAATGGCCTGGTTCAGTAACATGTCCACTTAACCACTTCAGGTCACAGAATTCCATATCTGTCCTTTGATAATAAGCCAATCCGCGCTGAATAGTAGAATATAGAGATGAACTAAGGATCTATGGTTAAAGAGCCGCCGGACAAATTATAGGAAAATTATTGCACAAAGCTGTTAGATGTGTAATAATATGAAATTAGTAAAACCAGTGTTATTAAATATCCTTAAAAAACTGCGTTCTCCTTGCAATATTTAGTGAAACAGTGTTACTAAATAACCTTGAAAAATCGGCTAAAAAGACTGTGCACTTCTGACATTAATTGTTTGATAATCAAATCCGTTGTACTGCGTCGTTTTGCAAATCAAATGAGCAGTCAACGTTTTCAGATGTTGCGTGTATCCCACTAATCTCCGGGAAGCGATATTCTTTAACTGTCAGGGTATCACACCATTGAGAAAACATTGGTACTGAAGGGAACTCCCCTTTCCTCCGGTTTTTTTTAGGGTCTCATACAACGGGGAAGTATTTTCGACGTTCTGGGCATGGAAGACAAACTTTTTAGCTGATTTTTCAAGGTTATTTAGTAACACTGTTTCACTAAATAGTGTAAGGAGAACTCAGTTTTTTAAGGATATTTAATAACACTGGTTGTACTCATTTCATATTATTACACGTCTAACAGCTTTGTGCAATAATTTCCCTATAATTTGCCCACTTAGAATTATAGCTTCACATTCATATGTTGTTTACGATTTTTCACAGTTACACTCTCAGCAGTTTCATTTGAAACATTTCGTTTCTCACTTTGTATTTTTTCTTCACTTGAGTTTACCGTCAATTGTTTCTTTACCAGCAGGTAATGTACGATTTACTTATTCTCTTATTTTATTGATCTTTTATATTTTTCACACAGTCACTACTGGTATTTTTATTTAAAATCATTTGTATCACAGTTTTTATTACACTGAGGAGGTTATCTAGCGCTATACACTTGTCTCATATCTGTCCTTTACCGAAGTAAAAGAAGCCAGAAAAAACACCACTCTCAGTATTATTATAAATGCCTATGTGTCTATTTAAAATGAGTTTGTAGTTTTAGGTGGACTTGAATGGCAACTCGTCTAATATATTTTCACATTAGCAGGTTTACCAACATGCCAGATTTAAAATATGAATCAATTTCTATTGCAGTTTCACGTGGACTGATTCACGACTGGACAGAAATCTTATTACACAGCTAACAGGGGAAATTACAGACTTGTTTGACAATGAATTTCGGACACTGTTTGCAGCTTCCCGTCCTTTGCAGAGATATGATTTTGCCAAAGACCCTAACAACGAGGTTCACAATAGACTTCCAATACCCTCCTCAACAATATTGGTGACTAAAGAGACAGAAAATGTCAGCTTCAAAGCCCAGGTTGTGCCTGTTGTACCAGAGCCTTACACAAATGGATTTTCCTCTCCACAGAGGTTTACCACCAATGGAGCATTGCAGCCAACTGACGTCCTCCAATCGCCCTATATAATTCCAGCAGGACCCACACAGATGACTAAAAGTATTAATAAAATAGCAGAACGTAGGACAGTAATGCCAGGAACAGGAATGGTCCTGGGTATGGATAGTGGATATAATAGAGCCTCATTGGCATTGCAGGATTCTTCTGTTACCAAAGACCCAGTAAGTGTGCCTGATTACTCAATTCGCCATCGACTTGCAGCCTGTCGCAACTTTGAAGGACCAACTTTATCCTTCCGAACTGCACAGGAGTCTCACAGTGCCTTAAGTGATATTTTAAAGAATGTACAGCGGAACAGACTGTCTGTTGCAAAGACAACCGGAGGAAGACCCAGCAAGTCCCTCTGGGATCTCAGTCAGCTGTCTCAGTTGTCGGGTTGCAGTGGGGATCTAGGAGTTAGACAGAACCCATTGGATCTTGGAGAAGACTCAAAGGTGAGATTATAATGTTCACATTGGTTTACTTAGATGAGTAAGCAGAGAGATGTTTATGTTTTCCCTATTGTGCATGTTTGTCCATTGCTAATATTGCTAATATACATGTTAGTGCAGTTATTGAAAAAATAGTATTCTAACTGCTGGGCAACCTTGTGCAGCAAATGATGTGATACTTGCTCCCCAACAAACAGACAAACCAAATCCTTGACAAGTCAGAGCAGCAGCAACAGCACAACACACCCGAGCCAGCTGATTGAACACTGATAGAGCAGCAGAAAACTGATAGGGTAGTCTCTCTGCTTTCTGTTCTCTTTCCTCCTATCAGCATAATTGTTGTCAACTCTTTTCCATTGCAGTATAGCCAGATTGCCTCCTGGCACTGCCGCTTTCCCTCCTAGTCTTAGTTCTGCCCTGCAGAAGCTTACAGGAGGCTGATACCAAGACTTACTTATACTTATATTAGTTATGTTTCAAAATACAATAACTGCATTACTTCTTTATATGCCTAGAGGCATGAAGAAAATGCAGGTCCTTGGGATTCAGCTATATTGAAAGCTTGAGAGATCCAAAGTCAGAATTGCTTTAAAAACAAGAAAGTAACATGACATTTTTCTCTAAAATCTGGTATCAGGTTTGACCGAGAACATACTCCTCCGTCCTAAGAGGCAGTGCACTTTGCTTGGTGTTCTATGCTATGCAGTCCCCTCCCTTGTCTAATATTCCCTCCACCTTATTTCAATATTTACTCTTCAGGTCCAGTAGATTTGTCAGTGTGACTATATAACTTTCAAATGCTTATACTCTCAGCAGCATGCAATAAAACAATGTAAAAGACAGCTGATCGACTGAACCCATTTCATAAGCTAAACTTCTCTGTGACACTAGACTCAAGACCAGGGCCGGATTTACTCTCTGTGGCGCCCCAAGGCCAGGTTCCTCAATGTGCCTCCCTCCCCACCAAACCCCATCCTCAATGGAGAATGGTAACCAGATGGCAGGGGCCATTTTAAACTTTTTAGTCACTTTTTTGCATTTTTAATTATCATATCTTTTAATTTTTAATTTTTTATAATTGTTTTATCTTATAATTTATTTTTTATAATTTTTTTATCTTATAATTTTTTACTATTTTATTTGTTATACATTTTTTATAATTAAATGTTTTAAATTTGTATCACCTTTCTATTTTCTTTATTATTATTTCTTATTATTTTTCACAATTTTTGGGGGCCCCGGTTGGCCTTGTGGGAAATCCGGCCCTGCTCAAGACTCTCACAGATTACTTTTGTCATTAATCTCTGACCGAACGTTAGTGTAGGGAAGGATACTTTGTAGATAAATATATTTTAGATATTGCATCAAAGCACATTCCAGTCTTACTTCAAATGAAGAAATATATTGTGAAGCAGAGATAAAAACATGTTATAATTTAATAACTTTTATAGGTACCAGTGCAAAGTGTCTATTATTTTTGCAGATTATATTATGGTTATTGCATTAAAGAGGCAATATAATAACAGAAATGTAAAGCTGGCCATATAATGCTGTGGGTGGCCCTGTCAAGGCTGGAAATTGTTGGCCAAACAGTCACTGCAGTCACTCTTCAGATGTTCTGACAGCTACAGGCTCCAGCTGTCACAATGCAATAGCGTGGCAGAGGAGATTCCTTCATCAATGCTGTTTAGTGTGGATAGGGGAATTGAGCATTTTCCTTCAAGTGTATGGCCAGCTCTTCAGTGACATGCAGTGCATACCGTGCCCGCCCCAGCCCCTCCCTCAGCTTGCCCCGCCCGAGCCCACAGATGCCCCACCCTGGTCACCAAGCTGTGTGGAGGAGGGAGGGAGAAAGGAGGAGACAGGGAGGAGCCTCCATGTCCCTCACTTGCTCGTCACTGGTGAGGCATCGAGATCGATATCCTCAGTGGGTTTTTTTCATTTTTTTGATTGGACAGCTTGGACCAATGGTGCTTTGCCATTGGTCCAAACCATCCACAGGTTTTAAGCCTCTAACACAAAACAGAGGCTTTTGCAGCTCGGGGCTCACTAGCAGTGGGGAAGCCTACTGCTGTGTAACTTAACTTAGCTGTCGAAAGTCGGATGCAGCGCCACCTGACTTGAAGCTGACAGCTTTTTCCTTCATAATACTAGGTGAGCCTCTGCCTCACTTGTCTCCCCTGACTGCACGTCCCTGGTGCTCTTGTCCATTGGTTTAGATTGGGCACACACCTTAGCTGACTCTCTCCCACAGTACAGTGCCCAGTGACTAAGCTACTTATCAGCAAGCACTTTACTGTCAGGCAAAGATCTGAAACTTTCAGGAGGTCACTGTATGTATAGCTTAGTTAGCAAGTGCCGATATGTATTTCTTTCTTGTATTTATATAATACAAACATATTCAGTCATTGTCCCCCAAAAGTAGCTTCCAAACTTCTGTAGGGAGTATGGCGAATGAACTACCATGATATTTTTTGATTTTTAAAGGAACCTCACACAAACACTGGGACTATATACAAATCTATTATAGATAGTGCCACAGATAGGAATTAAAATAGCAATAATGCCCCAGTACACTCACCAGCCAGCCAGCAAAAAAAAAACAAACACAAAATTACACTGTCCAACTTTTAGGGTTAAAAACAGAGGTTTAATTTGCACAACTTTTGCAAATTATGTGAAAGCCGCATTGCCTCATCAAGGCCCCTCTGTGTACTGTGGTCCTAGCATGGGCAGCATAATGGTTAGCGCTTCTTCCTTGCAACACTGGACTGGGTGTCCCTGGTTTGAATCTTGGCCAGGTCACTATCTGCAAGAAGTTGGCATGTTCTCCTTGTGCTTGTGTGGGTTTTCTCTGGGTACTCTGGTGTCCTCCCACACTCCAAAGACATGCTGATAGGGTAATTGGCTCCTGTCTAAATTGGCCCTTGTACATATGCATGTGAGACAGAGACCTTGGATTGTAATCTCCTTAGGGGCAAGGACTGATGTGAATGTGCACTATTTGAAGCGCTACAAAAATTGTTGGCGGTATATAAATACCTATAATAAATAAACTCTAATCTATGCAAGCCTCTATCTTGGAGCATATATAGCAAAGGATGAATTGGGTGCAGGTTTGCCCTATACCTTCTTAAAGGCATAGGGACACACAGAAGCCCGGCACATCACAATGGCAGCTGAAGCCCCAGTGTGTCCCCACACCAAATCCAACAAGTGAAACATATGGCAAATGCACTCATCAATTCATAACTTGCTGTAAAGTAAGGTGCACATGGAAGGGCTTTAAATAGTACAAAAGAAAAATTTCCCAGCACACTCCCCAGCCAGCCTGCAAAAAAAATCAAATTACAGTAAATATTAGAGTTAAAAACAGAAGTTTTACTTATACAACTTTTGCAAAATATGTGGAAGCCACACTGCCTCATTAAGGCCCCTCTGTGTATTATGGTCCTAACTCTAAACTTTGAGAGCCTTTATCTTGGAGATAGGAACTAAACACGGGATCTGATGCAGCAGATAAGGACAAGGGGACTGACATCAGACAACTGAGGGTATCTGCATCAACTTATGCTGTCAGATACCAGCCGGTGCTGTTCGCTTTGTTTTGTGTAAAACCCAAATGTAGTTTTAGCAAAAAGTATCAGTTTAAATTGAAGATGCAAAAAACCCCGGAATGTGGTTCTGTTGTCTTCTATACGATTCAGTCCCCAGTGCCAACACTGCTCCAGCTCTCAGCTGCAGAGAGGGCCGCTTGCTCTTCCTTGGTCTATCTACAGAGATCTCATACACTCCCTGTTGTGTTTGACCAATAGATCTTTGTTTAACAAAGCTCATGTGTTGAACTTTGGCTCATGACAGATACTTTAAAGTATGCAGCTGGAAGCAATCATAAAGAACACCCAAAGCTGTATAAAACAGTATTCGGCAACCAGTGGAACTCCACCTTGCTTTGTCACTTTGAGGCTTGCAGAGAAAGCTGGAACTTTAGTTCTACAGTGGAAAGAGAACTCCTGGTTGCCTATCAGACATGAACCTATTCAAGTGGGTATTAGTTATAACGTTGTGCAAGAAATAGCATGAAGTATATAAAAGATTTATTGCTTAACAGTCTTTCTACAACAGTGGTTCTCAACCTTTCTAGGGCCAGGACCCCTTGGTAACATTTGCCAAGTTGTGGTGACCCCCCAACGGTAAAATTTAGGGATGACGCGGCTGCTGGAGAACTGACAATGCTGCGCTAGGTGAGGGCTGAGGAGGACTCTCACCTAGCACAGCAGAAATCACACAGCGATCCACAGGTTGAGAACCACTGGTGTACGCTGTCAGAATAAAAAAACAAAAAAAACACCCTAGGAATGCATAGCTAGATTCCTATTGCCTATTTCACTTTACAATAGCCAATAGCAAACTAGCTATTGCACCCGCCCTCTGCTGCTGTTAATCAGTAGTGGGGACCTGATGGAGAACTTCAGGTCCCCCTCTGCTAGCTATGCATTCCTAGGATGTTTTTTTTTCTGACTTACGGCGGCCTACGGCCCCCAATGTCAGACAAAAAAGGTTTACTCTGCTCGGGAGAAAGTGTTTCTCTCCCAGGCGGCCGGGAGCCGCTATCTAATAGCAGGAGACTCCCGGGCGACCCCTGGCAAATCGTCATTCGACCCCCGAAGGGGTCCCGACCCACAGGTTGAGAACCGCTGTTCTACATGAAGTTCTCTGTGTACAAGCTGGGATAGGGAAGTCTAGTTTACTGTTAGGGCCTGTGTCCATGAGCTTTGGGCTTTTGTCAATGGCAACTATATGAGACACCAGTTTGAGATGCCTATGAGATCATTCCGAGTGCATTGACAGGTACATTTTGACCAGCTTCTGACCTGCTTGAAGCAGGTGTTGCATTTCCATAAACGTGCATGGGAATGCAAATTCTGTCTGATGCTTAAAGAAGCCCATCGACACAGGCCCTTGAACTATTGAAGTCATACAGCATGTGCTTCTGCATAATC